AATAATAAGATTTGTTATCTTTTAAGTGGTTATGCATATTTCAAACTGTATGTATTTATCTTATCAGTGCTAAGACATTTGATATTCCATCTACAACTCTAAACATCTGATATCAGAAGTGATAATCAATATAGGAACATTAAATTTTTCATGAATCATAATGTCTGAAATATAATTATTTTTAGTAATTACTACTTTAATTTTTACTTTACATCTTTATTTGTCACTCTATACATATTATTTAATTCATTGCAACAAAAAATGCAAAAATAATATTCAAATAATATAAGTTACGTAGTATATTTATTTTGGTTTTTCCTTTAAAATTTCATGTTAAAATGAACTAAATATACTTATTTATAAACTAATATTTAACTCTCTTTTACAGAATAAACCCAAGTAAATAGATCCTTCACAAGTTAAAAATACAAGTTTTAATAAATATTGATAAACTGAAGATTAATTGTTATTTATTATAAATGGAGGGAAATTGTGAAAACAATGAAGTTTCTAAGTCAAACCCATGGCCATATATGAATGTGGGTTCACTAACTATATCATTTCTTACCAAATTGGCAACTGCTGGTATCATTTGGGGATGCGGATATTTAAATTTAAGTATAGCATGGTTGATTGCACCCATTGCTTTAGCAGCATGGAAGACGGAACGAAGGAAAGACAATGAATTAAAAGCAATTACTGCAAAAGCAAGCGTAATGGCCAAAGAGAAAGAATTGATAATGAGTCGATTAGATGAATTGCCGTCATGGGTTTATTTTCCTGACTTTGACAGAGCTGAATGGCTAAATAAAGTATGTTAACTTTCATTAGTTATACTCAAATGCATTATTCTAAAACTTTACATTCATATTAATTACAATTATTTTCTTTCTAATTTAAGGTTCTTTACAAAGTTTGGCCAAATATAAACCATTTTGCTCGAGAATTATGCAAACAAAGTATAGAACCTGCTATTGTTGAGAAATTAACAGAGTACAAAATAAAAGGATTTCAATTTGATAGATTAGTTCTGGGTCGTATTGTGAGTGAATTTTAATATTTAATTTTAAATGTTTTTTATATGCAAGGTGTTTTGAATGTACATTAAAATATTTATATATGCATAAGGTATTTAGGTAAAAGAATATTTTATGACCTTATAAATTGTCTTTCTATATTTTGTTGTAATAAAGCCTTTGAATTAAAATCTTTATATAACATATACATTCTGTGAAACATTTGTATGAAAAAAAATCATAATTGAAGTTGTTATAATAATCAGCTCTTCTTTAACATTTAATTCTTTCGGTATTTCACTTTCTTCTTGAATAGCTGTTATATCAGAGTTACTCATTTGAATGTATTTGTGTTTTTGATATACAGGGTGGGGCAATAACTATTAGCACCTCAGATATCTTCGAAATTATAAGTTTCACAGAAATATTTGCTGAAATAAAATTGCAATTGATAATAGTTTTCTTGCAGGTGGTGGTACTTCGTACATTTGAAGGTCACCTCCATTGTTTTAAATGGATCAGTATGTTTTTGCTTCTGTATCATGATAGAGGATCTTAAAACGAGATCAACAACCTATTACATAAGATCATTGAAGGTCATAGAAAGTAGAGAAAGGCGTAATGTTTACCGTTTACTTCACTGAGAATAAACACTGCTTGAAGGACACTTTAATAAGTTTGCAGGATAAGATAAACTTGATAAGATTAGTATCGATAATTCGGTAAATTCGGCATGATGTATCCGTTTGAAGAGCAAGTCGATATGCTTCTTATTTATGGTGAATGCCAACAAAATTCTGTAAGGGCGAAAAACTTGTATGCTGAACGATATCCGCATCGGTCTCAGCCGATGTTTGATGTTTGATGTTTTGCGTCAAACATTTAAAAATGTGTGTAATAAACTTAGGTAAATCAGTAGTTTAAGTGTTTGTAAAAGTGAACGCCAGAAACGAGTAATTAACGAAGAATTGGAAATCGGTGTGCTCGCAAGTGTGTCTAGAAATCCTCATATTAGTTCGCGAAAAATTGAACGCGAATCTGGCATTAGTAGGAGGAGCGTACTTCGCATTTTGCACCATTACAAATTTCATCCGTACCATGTTAGTCTTCACCAAGAATTGCATGGGAACGACTTCATGAATCGCGTTGAGTTTTGTCGATGGGCTAAACGTCAGATTCAAAACAATGAGTTTTTTCTTGGTACACTGGGTCTTTTGCTAGAAGAATTACCTTTACTTATACGACAAATCATGTGGTATCAACATGATGGATGTCCAGCACATTATTCATTGATTGCGCGAAGGTAACTCGATGAAAAATTTCGAAATCGTTGGGTTGGACGCAACGGTCCAATATCGTAGCCAGTTCGTTCACCAGACTTAACACCTCTAGATTTCTTTCTGTGGGGAACACTGAAAGACAAAGTGTACAAAGAAGTACCAATTACACCTTACGACATGCAACAGCGAATTATTGCATCCTGTGCGTCAATAAGTTCTGACGCTGTAAGACTTGCAAGTCAGTCAATCGTAAAAAGAATCCAATGTTGCATTGATAGTGGTGGTGATCATTTCGAACACCTACTATAAACGTATGTTTCATTTACTACCAAAACCGTAAGTATTATCGCCTTTCTTTACTTTTTATGACCTTCAACGACTTTATGTAATAGGTCGTTGAACTGGTTTTAAGATCCTCTATCATGATACGGAAGCAAAAACATACCGATCTATTTAAAAAAATGGAGGTGGCCTTCAAATGTACGAAGTACCTCCACCTGCAAAAAAACTGTTATCGCCACCGGATGGCCCTCTTTATACTGTGCAATTTTATTTCAGCAAATATTTCTGTGAAACTTATAATTTCGAAGATATCTGAGGTGCTAATAGTTATTGCCCCTGTACGTGAGTTACCCTATTTTACTGTTAATATTAAAACAATGATATTTTTAAACGTATTATTATATAAACTTATAAATATTTTAATATATATTACAAGTTTCTTGTACAATGATCATGTTGAGCAGTATGATCAATTACTATATCGTCTTATAGCCTTTGAAAATTTATGGAATCAAAGCTTATGATAAAAACACTTCAAGGAATGAAGTTATAATGGATGCTGATATTATGTATGTATTATTCAAGCTAATGATATCCTTCATATTATTTTATTAATTCAATAATTACTCATATTGTTGGTTTAATTACTTGAGTAATCAATTCTATAGGTATGCTGGGGATTGTGATATTACTTTTTCTGTTGGAAATATAAAAGGCGGTATTAAAGATTTTCAGGTACAGAGTTATAAGTATACATGTTATATGTATTTAGTATCATTTAGTAGTCATAAATGGACTAACATAATTTATATTAATTTGTAGATTCGTGGAATGATGAGAATAGTTATGAAACCACTGATACCAATTATGCCTATAATTGGAGGTGTACAAGCATTTTTCTTAAATCCTCCAGCTATTAATTTTAATTTAGTAGGAGTAGCGGATGTCCTTGATTTACCTGGATTTAAGTAAGAAAATTATTTGATTAGCTAATTGTATTCACTCGAAATATATTTGTTATTTTATAGAACCGGAAAATATTAAAGTTAAGTGATTTTATGCTTCTAAAGCTCATGTAATATTGTAGTAATAGTTTTGTTATTGACGGAATATGGAGTATGCTTATCGAATTTATAAAACTCTATAATTTATACTTTTTCCTTTTCTCTAAAATATCAGAAGTACTTCACAGACTTGGTGATTATATTAAAGTTCATGAAAAATAAGTAGAAACTAGAGGAAGGAATTTTATTTTATCAAAGCTTTGTTCTTTAATAGATTAAATGCATATAAAAGTTTGATAGGTATATGTGATATTGAATAAGATTTAGCTAATACGTTTTATTTTTAGATAAAAATATAATGAATAATATGTTTTATTTGTAGCGATATATTAAGAAAAACGATAGTAGAACAAATTGCAGCCTTTGTGGTATTGCCAAATAAAATTGTTATACCTTTAAGTGAATCAGTACCTGTTGAAACATTGAAAATGCCTGAACCAGAAGTGAGTTTTATTTATTATAATTTATTAGTAAATATTATAGTATGATAGTTACTACTTAAAACTATTTATTATGCTGTTTTGTAGGGAGTTCTAAGAATACATGTAGTAGAAGCAAAGCATCTTATGAAAAAGGATATTGGAGTATTGGGTAAGGGAAAATCGGATCCATATGCAATTATAAATGTAGGAGCACAAGAATTCCGAACAAAAACTATAGACAACACTGTGAACCCAAAGTGGGATTTTTGGTGTGAGGTATGCATGATATTTTATCACAACAAATTGGATATTAATAATTATTGCATGTGCTTTGCTATAATTTTTTACTCTAAGTCCATTAAAATTTCAAGTACCACGTCTTTTATATATGGTAAGAAATATTAACCACACGAATAAAGCACATAATATAGTAGAGAGAATAGAATAAACTATAGAATATTTTCAGGTTTAAATTAAATTTTTTTATTTGTTGATTTAATCACTATACACGATATAATTATAAATGTTGCTTTTATATTTTTTTCTGGTTTTCTTATATAAAAAAAATGTTCATTGTCCTGGTTTAGTTGCAACATGTTACTGATCTAACACTTATTCTGACTATGATTTACCGAAGATTACTTTTTCCGGTGAATCAGCGAAGTGTAATCTTGTCTATAATTACATAAATTATTGCTTTACTTACCACAGTGCAATATAGATATTAGTTTACATATAGATCAGGAACATCTTAAATCGTGTTAATGTATTTAATTTCATATTTTGGTATGTATGTGTGTATGTGATGTGCGATGTGTTATGTGGGATTAGTGTGCCGTGACATCGGCCATCGCTCAGCAGATTACTGTGCTGCTGTGGGACTATGATGATACCAAGGGCGATGAAAGTCTTGGAAGGTATGAACATTGAAATCTTTAATTTTTTTATATTGTATATAGAACGTAAAATTCTTGCAAAATATTTAAACTGCCGTTTTATTACATATTACATTATGTTTTAATAAAATATATGAAAATAATTTAATAAAGCAATAATATAATTTAAAAAAATTGAAAATACAAAAGAGCAATATAAATATTTTTAGAATTTGACATGTCATTTTATATACCATTTAATGATCATTCACATGTTTTCGCAGTATATTTTAATTGATATCAGCATTATTGAAGCAATCACTGTTATTTGTAATATATGAGCATGTTAATGTTGCTTTGGTTTACACGGATATTGTTCATAATATTGGGTTTATGGATGTTGTTTGTATGTGTCACTTCACTGCGTGATCAATTTAATGCTTCATCATAAGATTTTTAACAGTTGATTAGGATTTAGATTTATTTATTTAATAGTGGATTTATCTTTTATCTCTTAGTACAGTAATTTTTAATTTAATTATATTCATAGTCATTCTATGTGGCACATATGTATGGAGTAATAATTATAATTTTATATTCACAATAATAATAAAATTATAATTATTTTTACTAGTCGAATGAAAGATTTATAAAGTATTATTTTTATCTTTTATACTCTATATACATACTAATATTGGCACACAGGCTGTGATCTGCTCATGTATAATGCAGAAGGCTATGGTGTTTCTGTGGGATAGGGATGCAAGCATCCCATGTGTTCAGTATGATGACTTCCTTGGCAGGTAGTTGATGCATTTACAAAAAATTGTAACATAATGATTAATATTTAACAATTATAAATAATAATTTACTAATTTCTGCACGTCTGTATTATGGTTATAAATCTTTCTCATAACATTAATATAATTTTCAATAATTTGTGTTTTTTATATTAACTTTTAACAAAATACTATTTCATTATATATGTACATATAAATGTGCCATATGTTTAAATGTAATCCGTTTATTTATTATATTGTTTTAGTGGTAAATATAAATATAGTTGTATATAGATATATTTTATTATTGGTTTTTTATTATACACATTACGGTGGTTCTTCAATCGTAATATTTGACAACAAAGTAATATTTACAAAATTGTAAAATGATTTTGTGTACATAAAAATCGAATACATTTGATTATTGAATCAGAATCAATGTATAAAAATTTGGGTAATTTCATATCAAAATCATAATATCATTTTATTATTATAAAATGAACAATATATTTTTTGTTTACAAAATTAAAATTTCCCAAGTGTATAATAATATGTTTATTACTGCGCTTGTTTTTTTATTAACTCTGAAATTGTGCAGCTAATAATTATCTCTTTAAGATTTATAGTCTTGAAAATTGTACTAAAACGTTAAAAATTCAAAAATAAGAACCTCCCAGATGTAGTAGACTTGTTAATATTAGTTTACTTCATATATTTTTATTTTTTACAATTTAATCCTAGCTATCGAGTCTTTAATTGATTTGTTAATATGTTTTAACTTAATAATTTTGAAACTTTAGTTTTAGTTGTGTTTTTGAAATTTATGAGAGTGATTAGGTGACTGTAGTTCATAAATAAGAAACTAAACTAGATTGTATGATGACAGTTTATAGTGGATAAGAGCTTGGGAGCCTATTACAACACTGTGGTTGCCCATCTCTTTGACAAAGACAACGCTGGTCAAGATGATCCACTTGGCAGGTATTGCTACTTGCAGCAAGCACATTTTTCCAGGAGTAGAAAGCATTTGAGAATTTTTATATAGTTAGTTTAGAAGAACTTCCTTGATTTCTGTAAATTGAATGCCTGAAAATCTGAAGTATTTTGGAAACTGTAATTGTAATCTTATAACGGTGCATGTTATTGAAAGGTGTTTGCAGAACACAGTGAAGCTATACAGTAAAAATTTCATGGAGATGTGCCCTTTACAGATATAGTGAAATGAAAATTCATTGTCACCACATTGCTCTTCTCATTTTATTAATTATATATTCAAAGAAAAAGAACACTTTCTTAATGAAGTTAAATATTTCTTTAGAGTGCTGCTTATATGACTATGAATGTATGTAATATAAAATATTTATTGTTTATTTGAAACATGAATAGCATGAAAATTGTAAAAAATTGCTTTGTTAAATGGATACTTCATAATTGCATGAAGCATGTCAAACAGTCAGCATATTGATCATCACTTGCATATTCATCGTAATAACATAAACATTAGTAGATTATAATCATATTATAAGTAAAATAAATTTCGTTCTTATTAAAAATATTATTCTTTTGTATAATAATAATTCAGAGCTAGTATCGAAGTTAGTCGAGTAAAGAAGAAGGGAAATATTGACACAGTAAGTATGAAGTATAATATTAGGTTGTTCCATAAGTTTGTGCTGTTTATTTTTCTACCACATAAAATAATATTTTATTAAATATAAAATTCTTATAACATCATGACCTGTTGCTTTCGAATTCTTCTACTGACTAAACTGAAGCATAAAGGTTTAGTGAGCCAGGTTCTTGTATCACTCTTGTGATTATGAACCGTAACGTGAGGAGTATAAACACCACGGTACTAACTTATGGGACGACCTAATACTCATATTGCAGAATAAATTGCAAGTGATAACAAAAAATAATTATTGCAGTGGGTCTCATTAGAGCAAGCAAAACATGGTATGGTTCATCTACGATTAACATGGTTCCAATTTTCAAAAAATGTTGCTGATTTACAAGCTGTATGTATTTTTAAAAGGACAGATTAGTTAAAACCTTCAAAAGTTGTTACTGTATAATCTTTTTATATATGTAGGCTTTGATGGAAACTCAAGAACTTCGAATAACATCTATGAGTACAGCTCTTCTCGTTCTTTACATTGATTCAGCAAGAAATTTGCCAGTAAGCATAAACGTGATAAATTTAGGATAAAATAAGTTTTAAATTAATTCGCTTTGATTAATTTCAGTGTGTTCGAGGAAATAAACAACCGGATGTTTATCTTGAAGCAAGTGTTGGTGGAAACACGAAAAGAACAGCTACAATGTTACGATCTTGTGATCCAGTATGGGAACAGGGTTTCACATTTTTAGTTAGCAATCCAGAAACTGGTATTTTACACCTAAAGGTTATATATTTTACAAGAAGTTAAATTTATTATATCTTTATTATTGTAATCCTTTTTTGACTTATTTATACTGATTTTTAGATTACAGATGAAAAGACTACTCTTGTTGTAGGAGAAATGAATTACAATATCTCTTTACTTTTAAAACAGAATAATCTTGAAATTACACAACAGCCCTATGACCTACAAATGGCCGAGGCTGATAGCAAAATAATATTGTCTATGTCTTTAAATGTATGCATCTTGTTTTAAGTATATATAAATGTTAGTAAATAGAATTAGATAAAAAAATATTATCATTGTCTGTATTTTTTACATATAGATTTTAAAATATGAAGAACCTGAACCTACATCAGAAGAGGACGATGACGATCATGATATTAATCAGCTAAAGAAAAGAATTGACCGTCAAGAATCGAATATTAGTAATACGCTATCATCTAGTCGTAAGTAGTCTCTCTTCATTTATTTATCTTTAAATACTACATAATATCCACTTTTTCAGTTCCCCCTAGTCCGTTGAAAAAACAACCATCGAAAGAGTCGATTAATAGTTTAACACGTAGTACTGAATCAGGTGGAGCAATTGTACCTGAAGAAACAGTTGCACCAAACGAAGAATTAATTGTTACTAATACTGTTTCATCTCTTAATGAAAGTCCTCAGCTACTTCATAGAAATTTAAGTGTAACATCATCGTCAGGCGAAGCTAAATTGGGACGAATACAATTGTCCTTACGTTATAGTGTTCAAAGGCAAAAGCTTATAATTGTAGTACATAAAATAGCGTACGTAAATTATGCATACAGGAACTTGCGAGTTTTATAAATTGTAAATTGAATCATTTGTTTCTGTTACAGTAACTTACCTCTCCCGCATAATGATCCATACAATATACCAGACCCGTATGTAAAACTCTACCTCTTACCAGATCGTTATAAGGAAACGAAACGTAAAACAGCGGTAATGAAAGACAATTGCAATCCAATTTTTGACGAACAATTTGAGTATGTTGTTTCTCAAGGTGATTTAAATTCTCGTACATTGGAAATATCAGTATGCACTCAAAAAGGCTGGTTATCTGCTGGAAGTAAAGTAATGGGTCAAGTACATTTAAATTTGAGTGAAATTGATCTTACAAAATCTTCTACAAGCTGGTACGATTTGCAACCAGAGACTAAAGACTAGAAATTGAAGAAAAGCAAGTGGAGATTCGCACAGTTGTTCATGTGTTTCTGAAAACCGACTGTCGTTGAATTTTCACAATGCAATCTCTAAAGCTCTGAAACGTCTGAAGCTCAAGTGAAGTGATCAAACAAAGAAACGAAAATTATAAAATATTTGCTACTTTAAGCTTTACAAAATGTATGAAAGTAACAGCAGTTACATTTATTTGTTTATACTTCGACCGTCCACTGACGCTAAAAATTTTATTTCTGTAGATGCCTTATACATCGTTTAACGTATTGTTTACATTATTTAAGCTTATAGAATATTTTTAACGATAGTAAGTGCCATCAAAATGGTCTATTCTTACAAAGTATTCACGTGATCTGCATAGAAATATTTATATGCATAATATTACTACCATACACATAATAATTCATTAGATAATTGCAAAACACGCAATTTCATATTTTATATGAAAATTTAATAGTTGGATTATTATGTTCATTTACGCTTACATTTACAAACGCTGAATGTTTGATTTTGCTTCTGCTACGCTTAATTGTTCCTTTGTTTTATGTATTACTAACTATATAGATGACGCATTTATCTATGTTAAAAGATATATTAATAATTTTATGATCTGCACATTATATTATTAACTAAGAAATATAACGATTAAAAGTACTGTTCAATATTTATAGTTAATATAAACAGTTGAATCAAATTAACATATACATGTTATATTTATACGAGAGTTTTTGCTATATTGTATATTAATATATATTATATAAATTTATGTTTTTTTTATACTGGTGAAAAATGATACCAGTATAATGTTACAAGTTATTGACGAAGATAATAAATAAATATACAGTTTCAAATGACTATTGTTTCTGTTCCCTATATTAACTCCATGAAACTATCTCCAAGGAAACATAGTAAGCAGTAAATAGAAATATTGAATCTTTTTGTACCAATTTGAGGTTGTATTTATTAATAGTAGATTTAGTGAGTTAACTGTGTATTGTTGCAAAATGGAGCGCTATCATATGCTTCCTTGTTTACCTGGATATACTTTCGACATGAATGTAAGTTTTTCATTTACGAATCTTTTGCATATAATTAATCAATGTATTGTAAGGTATTCCAAAGAGGGGATGTGTTTTTTTCACAAAGTGTTTTATTTCTTTAGCTTGGTCGTACTAAATTTCATAGAGATCAATATTTTAGTAAAATACACGAAGGAGTTTATTATTTATCAGAAAAAGCGGATAAAGGCGATAGTGTTAATTATCCGTCAATATATCCTCGAGGAGAAGCGCAGGAACTGCCATCATGGATTGCTTATGATGGCCAAGTATAATGATTTACACCTTAACAAAACTTACATGATTATTAACTGTATATTGACACATTCAGGACACTATAATTTACTGGTGAAGCACTGGATAATAAATATCATTAACCTTCGTGTATCACCAATGAAAGATTGCACAATTAAATTATCTTTAGCCGCGAAGATAAGTATGTACAAAGAATATTTTTCAAATAAAAAACTTAGCTCCCAATGAAAAGGTATATTATTTAAATTAAAAAATTGTAATTAAATTATTTAATGTTTGAAATATTTATTATACTGCCATGAAAATTAATTTGAGAGAAACGCATTAAAAGTTATGCACGAAGAAAATGTTCAAATTCTTTTGACCTGTTGGCATTTCAATGCTATATGCATATACATTTTTCCGTCTTCTAAACAAAATTCTGTTTTAATTTGTTATAAACCTTTCTCTGCACTTTTGACTTTTTTGAATGGTATTTATCCTTCATGCTAAATAGTAATTATTTGGTCGGCATTCTCTCTAAACAATTTTGTTTGTAAATCTAGTTATTCGCCTAACTTTTAGCCTGTCGCGTCGCTAAATCGCTTTAGGAGGGCTATTGACGAAACCTTCTGCGAGGCATATTAGAGCCCTGGGTATTTTTACCATAGCAGAAATAAAAGCCCAAGGAACCGTTACTTCACTAATTTAATCGCAGTTGCTTCGGCACGTTTTGCCAGTTTTGTAGATTTACCATAATTTTAATCTTGCATCTGTTTGCCAGAAATCGAGGCGATCCTTGGTTTTATTACTCGCTATGGTCAGTGCCAAGAACGCTCGGGACCCTTGCGTGGGTCACCCGGAGGCTGCAATCGGCAACCCCTCCAGGATCACTGATTGAAGGAAAGTTAGTCCCACTCGAACGAATTTTTGTTTGTACGCGCCCACTATCTTGGAAGGCTACGAATCAGGAAGCTTCGAATTTTGCACACACCTACCCAAAGGTTTATAAAAACCTACGCAAGATACGGAGATGTGAGATATAAGAAATAAATTGAAACTAGACACACGAGACGGGGTATATAGACGTCGTTGTAGACTCTCGCCGCTGACGAGTATTACTGAACTCCCTAAAATAAACAGCAAATTATTTCCACCGAAGTAAATATTTATACAGTCCACTTCCAATCAGTTCGCACAAAGTTAAGTCGGCGTGCGACGTACGTGTTTCACTATAAAATTTCGAAATAGAAAACGCGTACTCAACACAGCTCACACCAACGTGTTAGTTTTTATTATTTCTTTATTAACATTTTCTCGTTGTTATGAATTCAGAATTTCGTGGTATTAAGTATTAGTGAAATGATTATGCAATGAATAATTAATTGTTACTCGACATAGTTTAAAGTTTAAAAAGTTTCACGTCTCCAAAAGTGTTTCCAAACCCTATTTTATTTTCAGGTAGAATATAACTATAAATAACGTTCCCAAAAATAATCAATTCAGAAATGTCCTGAATGTATTAATAGATAACGTTTATTTTTGTGCAATGAATAAAAATAATAAGATAATATTGTAAGAAATAAGT